GAGAACGTGACCAGATTTCCGGAGGCCTTTTTTGAGCAGCACCTATCTCAGATGTTTGACGTGGAGCAAATTGTCCTGAGCCCGCAGCAGCTGGGATTGCCTGTTTCCAGAACCCGGCGATTCACACTGTGCCGCAGAAGATCACGAGTGCAGAAGCTTGCTCTTCAGGTTAGCGTAGTGTTCTGAACTCAATCTAACTTTGCAGTTCGTGCTTGCGGATCAACCCAAGGATGACACGGCCCCTTACCTCTGTGCTGGAGGAACTGGCAGTTGCACTCCTGGACTTGACACACAAAGACCTGCTCACTGCATCAACAGAGCTGGTTGACAAGCTCGGCCTTGCAGGCATGACTGCAGCTCAGGAGCCTGCATTCTGTGTGATGAGCAATCTTTCATTTGGAAACGTGACCCCTTTCTGGGTGCAAACTACACCCCCAAGAGACATGATCATCAATTTCGCGAGCCCTGAGATTCTTGTTGCTTGTGGTCGTCCCCAACAAGTGGCTCCAGATATTTTTCTTTTTTCCAATGTTAATGTACACATAAATAGTACTGTTGCCCAAACGTGAGACTGGTGCTTTCTGTCTTTGTGCTGGGGCAAGTGCAATTCCAGCCGCCTGAAAGCCTACAGGCCCATTGTGCTGTTGGCATACTACAGGGTTGGAGTAGTTGGAACAGGGGACACCCGCTTGGGAAACTCCCAGTAAAGACATGTTCTCCAGCACTTGTTTGTGCTGGTTTGCCAGGACAGACGGCTTCAAGCCTACTTGGAGCTGGCTCCAACCAGCCACGTCGTGTACGACCTCACCCAGAATGCTCAACACCGATGCCGCGCGTCTGGCGACATGCTCATGACCCTCACGAAGACCTGCAGTGCGATGTGGGTGCGCTCTGCGCGCCGCTTCTTTTGCCGTTGGGCTGCATTTCTGGCAGAATCATGCTTTATTGAACTTCGAACCATTGCTTTGCTTGGAGGCACCCACCCAGTTTGTTCAGGTTTGCGCATATGATCAAGAGAGGAAAAACAGGGACTGCTGGCTCATCTGAGCTGGTGTCATGACTGTGGACTGGTGGCATGACAATGACTTACTGTTATTTTTCGCATCGACCCAACAAACACAGAGAGATACAATGCATCACCATCCATCCTACATTCAGTTTCCAATGGGTGACTTTCCTCCCCACATGTCTCGCATCTATCATGAAGCCACGTCGCTGCATTTGGGGTCACATCTCTATCCGATCCAAGATGGGGGCGAGCTGCTCATGGCGCACGGCTTCCCGGTGAGCTGCTGGGCCAGGCAAGCGTTGGGGGTGGGGTACGACATCCGTAACCTCAACCACAGATCTTTGTGCATCATCGCCGGCGACAGCATGGTTATACCCTGCGTTGGCATGATCCTGGCATCCGCCGTGTGGTGCAGCCGGTGGGAGTGGTGAAGCAAACTTGGCGGCCGCATCTTCATTTTGATTCCCAGGCCACCCGCCTATCCGGCCAGCTGCAACAGTGACCCCTGGTAAATTTCCCAGCTTGTTGCTGTTCGGCCAACCACCCAAAAGCCACATGCCAACAGGGACATGTGGGACAGCCCATATTGACCCAACCAGCTTGGATTTAACATTGCGGCAAGTTGCAGGTTGAGCGATGTCCGGGTGTGACACACTTGTCCAATGCGATTGTCAGATCCAATTTGGTTAGTTTGCGCCACAATTCCCAGCTGTGTATTGTTCAGCCGACCGCCCAACCGGCGATTCGTGAAGCTTCCCACACGGGCCCAACCAGCTTGGATTTCGATGCTGGTGTGAAGACTGGTTCAATGCATTTTTGCAGGAGCCTTGGCAGAGAAGATCAGGGGCTACAACCCTGTAAGGCGAATGAAAGCGATTTCCATGGAGCAGAATTCGGGGCTCACGGACAAGGGGAGTGCCTCAGGTTTCAGTGAATTTTGTTGCGCACTTTGATGGGGAAGCCCAGTGACCCCTGCGGTAAATTTCACAACTGGCTTCTGTTTAGCCAACCACCCCGCACGCTAACCAGTGATTTACGGAACTGCCCATATGTGTGTGTGTGTGTGTGTGTTTGTTTTGATGGTACCCTTATTTTGGGATGGGTTTAAAGTGAAGCCAAAAGAACCATTTTGGGGGCCCCCTAAAAAAAGGAACCCACATGGACCCTTGTACGCGCCCGCAAAATTTCGGCAAGTGGCAAGTTGATACTGGAACTGAGCGATGTTCTGTTGGGAGAACTTGTTCACTGCTTTTGGCCGGATCCATTTGGGTTCTGAAGTTTTGTTCGACCTTTGCCCAGCTGTCTAATGTTCAGCCAACCACAAAATCCACACGCCAACCGGTAATTTGCGGGACATGTCCTGGAGTGATGTCTTGGCTTTGTAGGAGCCATTTTGGTTCTGCCATTTTGTTCGGCAATTTCCCAGCTGGCTACAGTTCAGCCAACCACCCAGTAGCCGCATGGCGGGTAATTTGGTGGACGATGCCGGAGACGGTGTTCCGGATGAACGTTCAGCGCCTTCTATCCAGGTTGCGACACTCATCCCTAAGTGGCCTTTCATTTTGCCATGGTCTTTGAACTGTTGACGGAGGTGTTTTAGGGAATTGCCTAACATAGGGCTGCCTGAGTTTGAGCAATCAGGTGCTTATGGTGCCAGGAGCAAGTTTCACTGCAAGACGCTGTGATGAATGGAAAGAAGTTCAAATGTAGAGCATGTTATTCGACAGAAAGATTTTTACAGAGCTCTTACAAAAAGAACCAAAAGGCGCATCTATGGAGCGCCAAGACGTTTGACGAGCGCCGCGATGAGATATGCCGACACAAGTGCAACCACGGGAGCCAGGGCGCAAAGCGTAGTTTCGAGATCACTGAGAAGGCAGGCGCACACTCTGTGGCAAACAGGGTGCTTTCTATTGACGAACCCTGTGCTAACCCCATACTAAGTTGCACTCACAAAATGAAAGGACCGGATAATCCCACATGCCAAGCTTTATTGGGACGGAAGAGGCCTAAAAGGATGATTAGACAAAGGACCAGCTGGGGTGGTGGAGCAAGCCGACGAGTGAGTGAGTGAGTGAGTGAAGTGAAGTGAAGTGAAGTGAAGTGAAGTGAAGTGAAGTGAAGTGAAGTGAAGTGAAGTGTAGTGTAGTGTAGTGTAGTGTAGTGTAGTGTAGTGTAGTGTAGTGTAGTGTAGTGTAGTGAGTGAGAGAGAGAGAGAGAGAGAGAGAGAGAGAGAGAGAGAGAGAGAGAGAGAGAGAGAGAGAGAGAGAGAGAGAGAGAGAGAGAGAGTAAGGGAGGCGGACACAGGCGGCGTGTAAAAGTAAGAGCCCCACACAGCGGCACGCGTAAAAACCTTTTCCCTGTAAATGTCTGTATTGAACCCTATTGACCACGTTACAATGCGGGCTTCAAGTTTTTCAAGGGTGGGGGGATTCCTTTTGACCCCGAATTTCAGAGTTTGCTCCACAAACAAGGGCGTGCGTTTATTATTGTAAACGCTTCGTGCTGCCCGCCTCGGCCCAGCATGCAGTGGCAATTCATAGCTGCGAGTCATGGAGCCAAGGCAGTGTTGACTGGCTAGGCTGAAGGTGAGGGAAGCTGGGCAATTGGCTGGAGTTAGGGGGCTTGAGCTGGCTGGGCTCTGGGTTTGGAAGGGTGGGGCGAGGGTGACCGCGCGGTCTGACTGACCTTGCCGGGATTTGGGCTGCCCAACATGGGTGGTGGAAGATAAGGGCCAAGGCGAAGTTGGGCAAGTTTGGGGTGTTCCCACTTTTTTCTCAGCTAAGCCAAGCCTGCAAAAACTTGGATCACCTTTGTGCGTGGCGGAGGCAGAGGTGAGAGATGAGGTGAAGGCATCAGCCGTCCGGGATCGCATGAACTTTAGAGAGCCACATGGACGCATCATGATCACTTGTGCATGTGTTGCATCACCAAATGACCCGTGGTTAGCGCATGCCCTGCTTCTTGTCAACCAAGGTTTGCAGCGTTTGGGAAAAACAAGTGGGGGTGGAGCGCGCAAGACGCAGAAAGCAAATGGCTCGAAGCGGCCAATGACCCTTCAGTCCCGAAGGCAAAGGACGAAGAAGGTTGGCAAACAGTTGCCAAATACTCGAAGTTCTCGCTGGGGTCGTCGCGAGCCCTGGCCCATAGCAAGGCTATCTCTAAGAAGGACACAGTCGAGGCAACTGCTCAGGAGCTTCCCAAAGTTATGAGTAGCGCCCTGGCTGAGCCAAACATGACACCCGCAAATCGACCTTGTAAATTGGGTTAGGCAATGACAGGCACGCCTGACGCATGACTGCTTGACTGTAAGACAGATTTGGGAAGCCATTTTCATTTTCCTGCTGAGATCTCATGGAGACATCCAACCTGCGCGCCCACACTGGCTTGTTCAATATGGCGGAACTTCCGACTTTGCCATCCTTGCAGTCCATGACGACCTCCTCTGGCGTGGCCAAGGCGCAAGCCAAGGCCAAGAAGCGCAAGGGCGGCCAAGGCCAAGGCAAAAGCAATTCGCATCAGCCGGTCTTAGTGGACGAGTCAGATGCACAGCTGGCCAAAAGCCAGGAAACCCAAAGGGCAGGGAGGATCCTCAAAGCAGCAGAAGCAAGAGACAAATTGGCAACTCGAATAAGATTACAAGGGCCCAGTCTCTGACCGTTCTTCGGGTGGTACCCGACCTGTGTGTTCTTATTGAAACACTGGTGTGGCCCCACGCATTGCTCAGGCGAAGAACGTGCTGGACCTACTGTGCGAAGTTGGCCCGGCTGTGGCTGCTGCGGATGGTCTGCCCGAAGTTTCCCAGCCAACACCTTAAAATGTTGAGCTTCCACAGTGTGAGAGTGAGCCATGTCAAAGTTGTGTGCGTTCAGCGAATCGACCACTGTGTGCGCCACTTAGGACCCAGGCCGGTTTGCATGAGAAGTTCTGCGCGCTGGCCGCCATGGCCCCTGACTTGGAGAGCAGCCGGATTGCGACTGACATGGAGACGGAGGAAGCAGAGCAGGCCAAGCCCATCACCGAGTGGCTGCAAGATTTTGCGCCATGCATTGAGAATGCAAAGGCCCAGATGTCCCCGCAGTCCAGGGCAATTCGGTCAAGTGCAGCTTGGCGTCGCAAGCTGTCTGCTTTGCCAACACACTAATCAAATTGAGAAGCCTGCGGCTCCTGCGATAAGAGCTTCCATTGGGTGCCTTTCCAACACTCACTTCCCAAATTGTTCGCTACATTCTTAAGGAATGCAGGGAAACCAACCATGCGGGTGTCTCGTTTGGAAGGGTGCCCATATTTAGGGGTCTTTAGGTTAACCATCCGGACGCGTGCCCTGACTCAAAGGAGCTGGCCATGTACACAAGCAATGTGCGGTCCCTTCTCCAGGCTTGCAAGAAGGCCAAAGGCGACTTGGTACGAGATGTGAACCGGGTCAGGTCAATGAAAGAAAGGGCTGAAAGGGAGAAGGAACGGGCTGACAAGAAGCGAAAGGCAGCCGAGCTGAGTGCCATTGCCGCTGACGAGCAGGCTGACATTGAGCCTGGGATCTTTGGCCTGTCCGTGTTTCAGTCAATGAAGGAGACAAATGCAGCATGGGAGGGTCTTGTCCGATTGGACTTTGGTGGAGGGGAGTCCGCCTTGGAGCAGTTTGACCCGTCTGATCAGCCTTGCGTCTGCTTCGAGATTGGCACGCCCTCCGATAAGAGCTTTGTGTGTGACTCCATGCCAGCCAATGCTGATTCGCCTGAAGATGAGGCAGCCACATGGACAGAAAAAAGTATTGGCTTCCCAGAATGGGATGAATTGCTAGACGCCACTGTGGTCCCATCGGATGCTATGGTGATGTTAGAGCAATCTTGTTGGGCGACCTACCAGTACCTGAAGCAACCAGAGCTGCGAGCGAAGGACACTGACAGGCGCCAGCCTAAGGATGACATCGTTATACTTGTTTCCAATGTTCGGTCAGGCCCAAGACACGAGCGTCGTTGGCTGAGGATTCTGTCAGCCAGCTTGATGAGGACAACGGAGGAATCCTTGTACATTGGAGTGACAGACCTACTCTTCCCACAGCTGCACCTGTGCTTGAACGGCAAGCGCTGCATGATTGCAGCCCCCGTAGCAGGCCTTCTTGAGGTGTATAAGAGAGAGAGCGGGAAGTCGGAGACTACCAGTGTGAGTGTGGTTGACCTGTGCAACATGCTCACAGAAGGGGACCTGGAGATTGTTCGCCAGGCCAAAGGTATGTGGTGCACGATGGAGCCAAACGTGGCCGTCGTCTTGCCTCCTGGGTGGATCGTTGCATCAGGCAGTTGGTTTGTTTAACACAGTTTGAGCAGTTTGCTAGGGGCCAGGGGCGTGTGATGAGATATGAGTGTGTGGCTGTTTGGCCCCGAAGCCTCACATGCTGCAAACACAACTTGTTTGGGACTTCCCTGCAAGTCACTTGGCCAAGTTCTGTCAGCCCTGGAGGCAGCTTGGAGAACAACACCGTGCACTTGCAAGTTCCCTGCGCGACAAGGCAACAGCTGGCTTCAATGTCACCCAGCATGTTCGATACCTGCGCGCAGCTGACCACCGCCCCAATGCTCCGGCTGGTCAACAGGTCTGTGAAGCATGGCTTGGCCCTACGGAACCAGATCCTTGCTGCCGCTGAGTCCTTGCTGCCAGAGGAGGCAGTGCTGCCAGAGCACGCCCCCCTTGCTGATGCCAGCAACAAGCCAGGAGACAAGGCGCAAGACCTCAAGGCAGAGGTGAAGGCGTCTCCATCGCCACAGACGGGTCATTGGGATACTTTTGCGGTCAACCCATGCCAGGAGCCACTTTACTTGTCAGAGGGGGAGCGCATTCTCAAGCAAATGCAGGATGAGAGGAAGAAAGGCTTGCTAGAACAGCTAGAGGATGTTGCAAAACCAAAGAAACGCAGCCATGACAACCTTGCCAAGCGGTCGAAGAAGGTGACTCGCAAGATCAGGGGTGGTGATGCGGAGGAGGAAGGGGACGAACAGGAAATTACATTGGATACCCTGATGAAGGGCGTCGCAGATGCAGATGCCGCAGACGCAATCAGGGAGGCAAAAGCTGCCCTGGAGGCCCATAATCACGCACATGCCGCATGTGTCGGGTTTGTCTGCAAGCAAGTCACCACGTGTGTTGACGCAGGCTGGCGATGCAGAGACGGTGCCGACCGGGGACAGCCGCGCGCCAGCCCCGACTGAGGGCGAGGACAGTGCTGACAAGACTTGAGTTTAATGTCCTCAACTTCCCTCAGCCTGGAACCCTATAGTGTGTTGATGCAGCCAGGACCATGGAGCTTCCCAGCAGTCCACTGCCGCAGTGAACACTGTGGAAGCGCCTCCGGTCTTGCTCCTTACCAATCAAACCGAGCAATTAAATGTTCTGAATTTCCCTCAGTATTGGGCCTCGAACCCTGTAGTGTGTTGATGCAGCCATCCTTGAGGACCATGGAGCTTCCCAGCAGTCCACTGCCGCAGTGAACACGGTGGAAGCGCCTCCGGTGGCAGCTGCGTGTGCTTCTTCAGATGACAAGGACACACCTCTTGCAATTCCTTGCTGAGTGGGATCGAAAGTTCGAATGCTAGTGTCGCAACACTTTTCTAGGAACTTTCCTCACATGTGAGTTGTAACAGTTTCAGTCCAGTGCGCTTGTGCCCATGATGATTTTCAAACAGAGACTGATTCTCTTGCTGCAGCATTGTGACCTGTTAACTTTTTGGCTGATTAAGCATGTTTGTTTGCACTTGCCCCCTGAGGAGAATGGTGCGCTTCACCAGCATGGCGCCCGCGCAGAAGAGGTGGCCACCGCCAAGATACAGGCTGAGCCGGCTGAGGAGATGCCCGCTGTTGACATTGGCACTGCTGCCCATGACAAGGACTTGGTGCTGGGGGTCTCCACGCGCCGCTTAGGATGCTCAGATGTGGTTTTGCTTTGACTCGCTAACTTTGAAAGGTTTTCCCCAGTCAGCATGTTTGTTTGCGCTTGACCCCTGAGGAGAAAGGTGCGCTTCACCTGCATGGCTCCCGTGCAGAAGAGGAGATGGCCACCGTAAAGACACAGGCGGCTGAGCCGCCCGCTGTTGACATTGGCGCTGCTGCCCATGACAAGGACTTGGCGCTGGGAGTCCCAACGCGCCCTCTAGGATTTTCTCAGACGTGGTTTTCCTTTGACTCGCTAACTTTGAAAGGTTTTGCTAGTCAGCATGTTTGTTCCGCTGGCCCCCTGAGGAGAATGGCGCGCTTCACCAGCATGGCTCCAGCGCAGAAGAGATGGCCACCGCCAAGATACAGGCTGAGCCGGCTAAGATGCCCGCTGTTGACATTGGCACTGCTGCCCATGACAAGGACTTGGTGCTGAGGGTCTCAACGCGCCGTTTAGGATTCTCAGACGTGGTTTTGCTTTGACTAGCTAACTTTGAAAGGTTTTGCTCAGTCAGCATGTTTGTTCCGCTTGACCCCTGAGGAGAATGGCGCGCTTCACCAGCATGGCTCCAGCGCAGAAGAGATGGCCACCGCCAAGACACAGGCCGAGACGGCTGAGCCGCCCGCTGTTCACACTGCCCATGACAAGGACTTAGGGCTGGGAGTCCCAACGCGCCCTCTAGGATTTTCTCAGACATGGTCAAGTTTTGCTATTTGAAAGTTTTTGCTCAGTCAGCATGTTTGTTCCGCTTGCCCGATGAGGAGAATGGCGCGCTTCACCAGCATGGCTCCAGCGCAGAAGGGATGGCCGCTGCCAAGACACAGGCGGCTGAGCCGGCTGTTGACATTGGCACTGCTGCCCATGGCAAGGACTTAGCTGGGGGTCCCAACGTGCCCTCTAGGATTTTCTCAGACGTGGTTTTGCTTTGACTCGCTAACTTGGAAAGTTTTTCCCCAGTCAGCATGTTTGTTCCGCTGGCCCCCTGAGGAGAATGGCGCGCTTCACCTGCATGGCTCCCGTGCAGAAGAGGAGATGGCCACCGTAAAGACACAGGCGGCTGAGCCGCCCGCTGTTGACATTGGCGCTGCTGCCCATGACAAGGACTTGGCGCTGGGAGTCCCAACGCGCCCTCTAGGATTTTCTCAGACGTGGTTTTCCTTTGACTCGCTCACTTTGAAAGAATTTGCTAGTCAGCATGTTTGTTCCGCTGGCCCCCTGAGGAGAATGGCGCGCTTCACCAGCATGGCTCCAGCGCAGAAGGGATGGCCGCTGCCAAGACACCGAGACGGCTGAGCCGCCCGCTGTTGACATTAGCACTGCTGCCCATGACAAGGACTTGGTATGACTTGGTGCTGGGGGTCCCAACGCGCCCTCTAGGATTTTCTCAGACGTGGTTTTGCTTTGACTCGCTAACTTTGAAAGTTTTGCTCAGTCATTATTTTTGTTGCGCAGGATTTTCTCTTACAGTAGACATGGTTTCGTTTCGCTTCAGTCATCATTTTTGTTGCACTTGCCCCTTGAGGATAATGGCGCTCTTCACCGGCATGGCTCCCAACAGATGACCACCGCCAAGACACAGGCTGAGCCGGCGACCGCTGTTGACACTGGCACTGCTGCCCATGATGAGAAGGACTCTCAGACAGGTTTTGTTTAGACTCACTAACTTAGGCAGTTTTTGCTCAGTCAGCTTCTTTGTTGCTGCCAGCCCTGAGGAGGCGGCCGCTGCCAAGAAGCAGGCGCCCGCCGTTGACATTGGCACTGCTGCCCGTGATGACAAGGACTAGGGCAGTTTTGAGGTTCTGCAAAGCGAGGGTTGCGCATGTTGTTGGTTGGCATAAAGCCGGCGATTGCTGGCAATGCACGGGCAAGTGTAACAACAGCGTTGTTTGGTTAGTTTGGTTCATGTTCATATCACATGTTTGCGTTCCTTGCAGGAAGCTGCCGCTGAACTTGCCACCAACAAATCTGGCGCCGAGCCGGGTGAGATGATGCCTGTTCCCGCGTCCCGTGCTGGGCGCAAGAGGGAGGCAAAGCTGGGAAACGGTTTGCAAGGTTTGGCAAAGCCTAAGGCCAAAAGCAAATCCAAGGCATTGGCCAAGCCGAAGGCGAAGCCACAGTATGTGCCACTTTCGCATGCGTTTAAGGGCAATGCTGCTGCTCGCGCGACCCCACGAAAGTGAGTTGATCCCAGCTGATTTTTGGGTTCCACTCTTCAGACATAGGGGTTCCACCGCCAATCAATAATGTTCTTGTGATGACTCACGACGTGGCAGTTGATGCACTCCGCTGCATGTCCCGCCAGCTTCTTGGGGTAAGGGAGGTTGCGGTCCAGATGTAGTTGGAGATGCGTGAGACTTAATTAAGCAGGCGATGGGACCAATCCAGATAGACGCTAGACGTAGAACATGGACCCACGGAGCGGTTCAAATTCCAAACAAACGCCCGCCAGCTACGCAGTGGCTGGAGCTAGAGTGAAAAAGCCATTGCTGCCTGACCAAGCTATTCATAGTGCCACAACGGCTTCTGTTTGGGAGCTGGGTTGTGCGGGAGTGACGTGCTTGGATTGTGACGGCCAATTGCAAGTTGGATGAAACAGACCAGCGTTTCGGCTTGGAGACTGTTGCAGTCTGAATCTGCTTGCGGTAGCCAAGTGTGTTTCGTAGCATGGACCCGCGCCAAACTTCAGTGTCCAGGCGCCCACGCAAGAACCTGGAAAGCCTCACTCAGAAAGAGTTTGTGGACAGCCTGCGCCGCTTGTTGGCGCCTTCGCCACACTCATCTTGGAAGCGACCGATTCGCAAAGCGTTGCCTCAGAAGCCTCAGTCTGAGTCAGGTGTGCCGAAAGGCAGCGTCGGTCAAAGTCAAAGGGACGCGTTGCTACCCAAGGCTGTTTCACGTGAAGTGATTCACGGATGGTGGCCATCGTCGTTCCCCTGTATTCAAAAGGCGAGGCCCAGCTGAACTTCAGTGTATATAGCCCAGCTGAACTTCAGCGTAGAAATGCAGTTGAATTCAGGTCAGCTGGGTCCAACAAAGACACCCCGGGGGCAGGCAAGCGAGTTGTGCGGAAAGATGCTGCAGCCCCGGCAGATGCGTGGCGCGCGGGGAACACAGGGACAAGCGCGAATTAAATTCACTTAGAAGAAACGTACGAACCAGCGCAGCGCAGTCGAACAAACACACACACACACACACACTCACACACTCACACCCTCACACACTCACACACTCACACACTCACACACTCACACTCACACACACACACGCCAACAAACAGTTGCCCAACACAATGAGCAAAAGACCTCACTTCATCACCAAACACCAAACCAGCCAACTGACCAAGCATCTAACATGCTCCAACCACACGCACACACCAGCGCAAGCAAAACACAAGCAAAACAAAAGAGGAGACAAACAGACAAACAAACAACGCAAGCGCGCACACTTGAGTGCATATTTTTACATAGGCGGGCTGGCCGCGGGAGGCCATGCAAAGTGTCCAGATGTATGCCTCCCTGCCTGCTGTGTTGTTCTGTTTTATGCGGTGTGTGGGCATTCCTGGTCATTTTGTGTTTTTATGCGGTGTGTAGGCATCCCCGGTCACAAACGGGCCCGCTTTTCCACCATTGCTGGCTTGATACCTCGAAATCTTGATCTTATAAAAAGCCAAAACGTAACCGTAACCGAAATCGGCTCGCGCAAATTAGTAGTTTCCTAGTCGGTAATCTCAGAGTATTGAAAGATAAGAAAGGCATTTTCCTTTCAAGCCAGAGCCAAGTTCATGAATACCTGTGAGTTATGTGGTTTCGTGGAACAACGACTAGAATAACGACTAGAATAACGACTAGAATAACGACTAGATAACAAGTAGAGAAAGCGTCAGAATCACGCGCCGAGCACAGTTGGCGCCCATGCGTTGTTGGCGCGTCTTGAGGCGCTGTGGCAGGCGAGGGCGGTTGACAAGTCTAGTCTTGAGCTCGCTCCCCCTCCCCGCTCCCCTGCGTTTTAATGTTGTGTTTCAGACAAGTGCAAAAGTTGCCTGCGCGCTTGTTTCCATGCAACATTGAAAGTAGGAGAAGAGGGGGGCGGTGGTGGCGCGTGTTCCAACACTCAATCTTGTGTGGCAGGGGCCTCCACGGTGCAAGTCCGGCTGAGAGAGCGTGTTGTTTCTGGGCGCGCGTGCAGCGCAGTGCGCGTAATGCGTGAGGCTTTGGTCAAGGCGGCCGTGTTTTGGTTGCAAGTTTTGTCAAGATTGAAGTGGGCCGCAGGTCGTGCGGGCTCAAAAATAGGGCCGCGCTGCGGCCCTAGATATGGGGCCGTTTCTTTTTGCGGAAATAAAAACGGGCTGCAGAAAGGCGCAGTCGGAGGGTTACGGCAGCGTGTTGGAGCGCGCTCGCTCAACGCCCTTGCGTGTGGCAAGCCCAGAAAGCTCAGCGGCGCTGGGCCAACGGTTTCGCTGGACAGCTGCCGCAGAAGCGCTGAGAGTTGCAACTGGCAAGGCCCGGGCGCGTGGCTGCGATTTGCAAGCCTTTGCGCGGCCCGAGATTCAGGGCCGCTTGTGGGGCGTCCGGCGCAGCGCAGTGTGATGCTGCTGTGGCAGCAGCGAGCGCTTGAATGTGCAGCTGGGCCGCAGTTCGCAGTCGGGCATAGTCTTTGAATGTGCAGCTGGGCCGCAGTTCGCAGTCGGGCATAGTCGCACTAGTCGTTATTCTAGTCGTTATTCTAGTCGTTATTCTAGTCGTGAGTTCGGAAGCCTCAAGCGTTTCCCAGTCGGTAATCTCAGAGTATTGAAAGATAAGAAAGGCATTTTCCTTTCAAGCCAGAGCCAAGTTCATGAATACCTGTGAGTTATGTGGTTTCGTGGAATAACGACTAGAATAACGACTAGAATAACGACTAGAATAACGACTAGAATAACGACTAGACAACGAGTAGAGAAAGCGTCAGAATCACGCGCCGAGCACAGTTGGCGCCCGTGCGTTGTTGGCGCGTCTTGAGGCGCTGTGGCAGGCGAGGGCGGTTGACAAGTCTAGTCTTGAGCTCGCTCCCCCTCCCCGCTCCCCTGCGTTTCAATGTTGTGTTTCAGACAAGTGCAAAAGTTGCCTGTGCGCTTGTTTCCATGCAACATTGAAAGTGGGAGAAGAGGGGGGGCGGTGGCGCGTGTTCCAACACTCAATCTTGTGTGGCAGGGGCCTCCACGGTGCAAGTCCGGATATTTGAAGACGGCTCAGAGAGCGTGTTGTTTCTGGGCGCGCGTGCAGCGCAGTGCGCGTAATGCGTGAGGCTTTGGTCAAGGCGGCCGTGTTTTGGTTGCAAGTTTTGTCAAGCTTGAAGTGGGCCGCAGGTCGTGCGGGCTCAAAAATAGGGCCGCGCTGCGGCCCTAGATATGGGGCCGTTTCTTTTTGCGGAATTAAAAACGGGCTGCAGAAAGGCGCAGTCGGAGGGTTACGCCAGCGTGTTGGAGCGCGCTCGCTCAACGCCCTTGCGTGTGGCAAGCCCAGAAAGCTCAGCGGCGCTGGGCCAACGGTTTCGCTGGACAGCTGCCGCAGAAGCGCTGAGAGTTGCAACTGGCAAGGCCCCGGGCGCGTGGCTTGCGATTTGCAAAGCCTTTTTGCGCCCCAGATTTCAGCGGGCGTCCGGCGCAGCGCAGTGTGATGCTGCTGTGGCAGCAGCGAGCGCTTGAATGTGCAGCTGGGCCGCAGTTCGCAGTCGGGCATAGTCGCACTAGTCGTTATTCTAGTCGTTATTCTAGTCGTTATTCTAGTCGTGAGTTCGGAAGCCTCAAGCGTTTCCCAGTCGGTAATCTCAGAGTATTGAAAGATAAGAAAGGCATTTTCCTTTCAAGCCAGAGTGTGAGTTATGTGGTTTCGTGGAATAACGATTAGAATAACGACTAGAATTAACACTGACAGACCAGGCAACCGTTGACTCGGGGTAAAATAATTATTTTTGAAAGTTTTCTGAGAGTTTTCTGAAAGCAAAATTAGAGAGGTTTTGGGTCGCCGGGGTGCCTTGCAAGTCGTTGGCGAGCCGCTTTTGGGTTGCTGAAGCGCCTTGCAGGCTCTTGCCAAGCCGCCTTGGGCGCTTCAGGCTCAGCTGGAGAGGCAGTGTAGCAAGCAGCAGCAGGGCAGGGCAAGCGTCAGGCAAGAAACGGCATCCAAACCAACAGCGGGGAGTTTCTGTTGGCTTGATGTTTTTGTGGTATTGCCTGCTGCCTGCTGGTGATAGTTTCAACACAACGTAAGGACAGCTTCAAGGTTAAACAGTCACACAATATAGGAGGGCCGTGGCAGAGCGGCCATGGCCATGGGCGAGCCATACTATGAGGGCTGGGACGATGTGCTGCTGGCATCGTCCCAGACCATCAGCAACCTGGCAGACGAGGCCCAAGAAGTGGCCCCCAAGACACCTGCGCGCGGGGCAACGGTGCACACAGTGCCTTGGTGGGCGGCCCGCATAAAGAGCCATGCAACCAGACTTGGTTACAGATATCGGGAGCCGTCCAGCACAGATCGGCAGGTCATGATCATTAGTGGCTGCACAGGACTTTCGTCAGAAAGCTGGGTGTTTCAGGTGCTTGGGGCTGAAAAATGTGTTGTTTAGAGCTTGGTGGTGGGGATTTGGGTCACGCTAGCGCTTTCAACCCTGCACATACCTAACCCAACCCTATGTGCCTTCATATTCATTTCCTGTTCGACGTGCTTGCCAGCAAGATAACACCACCCTTTATGTCACAGAGAGCTGGTGTCGTTTCAAAGGGCGCAACTGCATAAAATAACCCGCTCCAAATTGAACTTCTTGCTTTCAGTGTCTCCGGGAGTTTTCACATTCACCTTGTAGCCAGGCATTCCCGTTTGCCATCATGAGCGCGAGCGAACCCCCTGACAGGTGCTTGCAAATGGTTTAAGGCATAATTTCAGAAACACAGCTTCCCCCACACTGGTTTGGGAAACCTCAAGGCAACAGGCCGCGGAGCGCAGCGCCTCCGTGTTGGGAGTTGGTACCCGGCGGGTGCGTGTGCAGCCTCGCCGGTCGATGCCGACTTCGGCATAGCCGGGTCACCGTGTCACCCGTATTCAACAATGAGGTCCAGCCGATTCGAAGAGGGCAACGTCACAGGTCACGCTGAGTATGATGTTGCAAACAAGGACTTCCTTGTTTGGCTCACCACTTTTGAGCCCAAGATGCAAGTGTTCGAGCAAGTGATGGGCTTTGACCTTCCATTCAACACTGCCTCATCGGAAACTCCGCTCCAAAGGCGTTGGGGCCAAAAAGGGGTTACTGAAAAGCATTGAGTCAGTCACTTGTTCCTGATTGTGTTTTTGGCTGTGCGTTTGTTAGAGAATGCGTTGCGTGGTTACACGCGCGCATCACAGCTTTGCTTTTCAACATTGACGTGTTTTTGCGGCAGAACCATCTACTCGTCAGTTTTTCTTGATTGCGTACCCCACGCATCTCCCAAGCGACCGAGCCGGGCGCCTTCCAGGTTTCTTGACGATCTCAGCCAGTGCCGCTTCAAACACGGCTACTGGAGGGTGACGCTGAAAATGGACATGAGGATCTGGCAGAAGGTGGCAAGGCCAAGGCCTGGGCGGGCGGCTGGGGTTGAACTTGTTTTCTGTAGGTCTGTGGTTCAGGCTTGACCCAATCAACCAGAGCGAAGTTTGCAGAGTGCTTTATGCACGGGCCCATACTTTCGTAAGCCGCTTGCTGCTCATGTCATGTCAAGCTACCTGCGGTCGTCTTGTGGTCACGCTGCGCCCTGTGCCTTTCATTGGCACAGCTTTGCGTGCAGTGTGTGTGTAGCTTGTCAAGCCCGGTGCATTGAACAACAATGACTAGCGTAAAAGCGCTCGGGTCATCGCCATGTAATTCGGGTCAGCAATTGCTGTCGCTGCACACACTTGGCTTGGGGAATTCCACATCAGGGTTGAGCGCTGACTAAAGCAAATTTCACGTAGCCATGGCTGATTGCTGGGATGACTCCTGGGAAGCTTGCCTGGGTGGTGGCAGCGCTGGCGCGCCTGATCTTCCTGCAGCTGATGCAGCTGCCTCCTGCTGCGAGGGAGGTCCTGGCGAAGCCGAAGCTGCGTTGTCGGGAGTTCTAGAAAGAACATTGAAACGGCCGCTCCCAGGTGGACGGGGTCGGGGCAGAGGGAGGCCCCGTGGAATTTTTGGCAGCCGCGTGCTACAGCAAGAGAGGGCGCGCTTGACGCAGACGCATGCGCAGGATGCTGAACAAGGCCCTGTTCCCGGTCCCATTGCTTACGCCAGACAGTTCAAAAGGAAAACTTCTACAGAGGAACTCAACGCTAGCGAGAACCAGGATATGACTGTTTCTTTGCAACTATGCCCTCTTTTGCGCGGCGCGTCGCCCATCTGGGGTTTAATGGTTGGTCTGGGGGACTCCCTGCATCAGTTGCTTAGCTGAAGTCTCTTACCTGGCTTCGTGTTGTGTTAACACCGCCCTTGTTTTGTATCAGCTAGCTGGACTGGCATGATTTGTTTGTTTGAAGCCCTTAGTGGCTTCAATTCAAAAACAAAGGGTCGTAACACAGGCCCAGCAGATTCGCTTGCACGCTTAGGCCCATAACTTCTTTTTTTACTGACCTACAGAGAGCGTGTTGTTTCTGGGCGCGCGTGCAGCGCAGTGCGCGTAACGCGTGAGGCTTTGGTCAAGGCGGCCGTGTTTTGGTTGCAAGTTTTGTCAAGCTTGAAGTGGGCCGCAGGTCGTGCGGGCTCAAAAATAGGGCCGCGCTGCGGCCCTAGATATGGGGCCGTTTCTTTTTGGGGAAATAAAAACGAGCTGCAGAAAGGCGCAGTCGGAGGGTTACGGCGGCGTGTTGGAGCGCGCTCGCTCAACGCCCTTGCGTGTGGCAAGCCCAGAAAGCTCAGCGGCGCTGGGCCAACGGTTTCGCTGGACAGCTGCCGCAGAAGCGCTGAGAGTTGCAACTGGCAAGGGTCCGGGCGCGTGGCTGCGATTTGCAAGCCTTTGCGCGGCCCGAGATTCAGCCGCTTGTGGGGCGTCCGGCGCAGCGCAGTGTGATGCTGCTGTGGCAGCAGCGAGCGCTTGAATGTGCAGCTGGGCCGCAGTTCGCAGTCTAGTCGTTATTCTAGTCGTTATTCTAGTCGTGAGTTCGGAAGCCTCAAGCGTTTCCCAGTTTTTATTATCTCTTCAACTGTGTTCTTGAGCCTGCCCAAAACATCTTTGCAAACTGCACTGGGCCAGGTACGAGAACAGCCGGCGCTGCAACATCCGTGTGCGACTCACCAAGGAAGAACTACTGAATCTCCAAAACCATGATGGCTTGCTGAAGTAGATCGGCTGCGGCTGGACAATGACTCCATGAAGAAAGAATTGGATTTCTGGACCAAAAGCACTACCATTGGGTGCACGGGACTGGTGTGACCGTCTCCGCCAGGCTGAGCAGAAATTCCGTGAAGCAGCTGAAAAGAACGCGCGGCTTGAAGAGGCCCTGCGTGATTTAAACAGCAAGTTGGACCAGCTTGCGCTTATGACAAACTGCGCTCGCGCAGTTTGTTTTGAGGCGAAAGCAGCCAGCGCCAGCGCCTGAGGCAAACCTGGCAGCTGCCATATGACGGGGTCTTTTCCATTGGCATGGGGCAATGCCGGAAAAAAAGAGAGCAGCTGCGCGTTCACGGCCTTTTTGCTTCTTGCTTATCGGCTGCTAAGGTGGCCAACGATTGTAACCAGTAGGCTGCCAAGTTCCCCTGCTGCATGTTTCTGCCCAAGCGGATCCCGCCCCTTCCCTCTTGACTTTCTTCTTTGGGGTCCTTTTGGCCATGCAGCAACGCAAGTCAAGTTCAAGCCACCTCGGAGTAAGAGCGCGTCCCAAAATTCTTCCCCCCCCCCCTCCCTCCCCAAGATTTTCGGCAAAAAAAACACTTCCGAAAAACGGATTGTTTTGACAAAGAACGCGCGCGCGAAAAAACAAGGTTTTCGGTCCAAAAAAAGCACCAAACAAAAAGGCATAAAAAGCATGTCCTTAATGACCGGCCAGTAATCTCAGAGTATTGAAAGATAAGAAAGGCATTTTCCTTTCAAGCCAGAGCCAAGTTCATGAATACCCCAAGACGGGCTAGTCAGACCTTATTACCGAACCAGTTCTTATTACCGTAACCAGCTCTTATTGCCACATGGCCCGGGCAGGCCAGTTGCGGGCAAGGCACGCAAGCTACATGCTTCCTGATCTGCGCATGGACTGTCAGTGTGCCAGCAGGCGAACAAGCTTGCTTTCAAGTAAACAAACTTGCTTTCGCTACACGGCGTCGCTGTTGCGCACGCCTAGCGGGCAACTCATGGCTGCGCTAAACGAAACTGGTGTTTCAAATGCATATCTTGCCACCCCCATACCTGCTTTATAGGTGTATATATATATGTGAGGGAAAACCATGTTTTGAAAAAGGATCCAGGGGCTCAAACATCACGATCAGGCACCCCTAGTGCTTCACAATGAGGACCGTCGATCGATCAAACTCGTCCCCTTCAAGCTGGCTAAAGTTTCAACAGGCCCAATATTTGTACACAAACAAACAGCTGTTTAAAGGGTGTGATTGACTTGGAAGCATGGCTGCAACAACGCATGTTGCTTTGGGGACGCCCTTCAGGAAGAGTGTTTTTTCATTTTTTGCATTGAGCAATCGATCAGCTCGCCCGCCCGGCGCTGCGCCATCCTTGGCTCAGGCACGTCGAGCAGCATGGACCCGGATAGGAACCATGCACGAGAAGTTCGAAAAGAGACTGTTGTCAGACTGGCCACCGCTATGTTTGATACTTTCGTAAGGGAAGACGGCGGGGAGTGTCTCTCAAAAACAGGTAGCTTGTTGCAATCTTCGTCGTTGAGGCCGAAAAAGTGCAGAAAGCAGGTTTACTCGCTACTGGAGGCGGCAAGCTCGCTAGAAGCCAATTGCCGAACAAGAATTTGGACCAAAGCTACAGTCCGGGACTCCCTGCACGCGTTGCTTGGCCTTTTGAGGGAATCGCACATCGAACTGCCCACGTACCCTGGCTTTGACGTCAAAGCCTGGGTGACCTCGCAAACCGAAAAATTGCAGAAGTTGCTACGACAGGGGAAAAAAAATAGCTGGGCTTTGTCTCACCAGGGGGCCATGGACAACGCGGAAACGCTTCCGATGACATTTGAGAATACTGAGGCTTCGGTGCATGTTAAGCTCCTTCACTGTTTCGCGCACGGGCAGGTGTGGGCTGACTCGCAGCTGCCCTACACAAGTGATGAGGACCCCGCTCAGTCTGACACGCTGCCGAATTCAAGAAGCCCACCTACAGATCAAATTTGGGGTGATTCAATTAATTGAAAAGCGTCTTGAGGCTTTCGGCCAAACGGGGTCGTGAGGATTGAGGCTCTTGGCTACGCAAGCTGAAGTGGACTTTGCACGCATGCATGCTCACTTGTTCTCAAAACAAGGATCCGTTTCACAAACAAACTTGTTTTGCAACTGGAGCCCCCAAATTTGCCCATAGTTCCTCAGCCCGACCGATGCCAGGAGAGAAGTTTCAAGATCTGGGCAGATTCGTCCAAGTGTCTTGGCAACGCGCTCCGGAAGCCAAGTCCTGCAATCGAGTTGCTGTCCAAGGCATGAGGCCAATGATCGAGATCAGGCATCCCAGATTGCTACCATGAACGTGCTTGTCAATCCATCTCATGTGCACGCGATTGTTTCACTGCCTTCAGCCGAGGCACACATCAAAAAATCAGAAAGTGGTGAGACGTTGCGATTTTCAAAGTCTATGGTTGATGAAGGGGCCTTAGACAAATGGAACTTCTGATGCACAGCACTTGCGCTGCCTCAACCAAGCAAGGAAGAGATTTGGGCTTCGTCCTGCTCCCTCCCAGAAACTTGGCTGGCTTGGCGAGTTGCTTTGATTGGGCCTAACCGACTTGAAGGGTGCCTCAATTGTTTTGAGTTTGGGCCTCTTCACGAGAGATTGGGGAAACAAAGAATTGAGTTGGGCCATCGATCTGGTTATTCAAACAAGTTTGTTTGGGGCAGCCGGAGCCGAAACAAACTTGTTTGATGGGTCCCGCAAGTCACTACAGATTGAGTCGAACGAAATTTGTTTGGTGGGGCCTGCCACTTTTTTGGGGTGGTCTAATTTGTTTTATGGGCTTTGGGGTGACCCGGATCAGACCAATTTGTTTGATGGGTCCCACAAACCATCTTAGTTGGGCCTCTTGTCTACTTTTTGGGGCCCAACTTGTTTTATGGGTTCTGGATGGGGATGGTTCTGGGGTGACCCGAATCAGAACATTTTTTGATGGGTCCGGCAAGTCCATCTTAGTTGGGCCTCTCCTCTGTGAGAACTAATTCAAAAGAAACTTGCTTGATGAGGGTTTTGAGATGGCCGTACTTGTTTTATGGGTTCTGGGGTGACTCGGATCAGAACAAATTTGCTTGATAGGGCTGGGCTGGGCCTCTTCTCTACATCGGCTGATTTGAAGCAAACTTGTTTGATGGGTCCTGTGACTCCCTTTAAGGCGGCCTGGGTGGAAACAAGTTCGTTTGTTGGGCCCTGCAAGTTGTATAAACATGCGAAACTTGCACTAGATATTTGATGGCGCAGAAGAGTTGTTTGGCAAAGTTCATCAGGAAAGGGGTTGCCGATGTTGGAAGGGCCTTCAATGGGGTCGGTTGAAATTAAGGGGCGGCGGAAAACAACTTCCCATTTTAGCCAGGCCATTCCACTTCATCTTGAATCAAAACAAATTGCTTTGACGCGTTAAACATCACTTGTTTCAAAAAGTGTTTCAACCCCTACTTCAACCCTGCCCTTTCCCAAACCTCCTTGAGCTCCTGCGCCGCCAGCCCAGGCTGAGCCTGCCAACGGAGAGACCGAAGCTGCGAAGGCTGACCAGGTCGCTGGAGCAGCTGAAGGTGAGTGGCGGGATGAGGGTGGGTGGTGTGAGGGAGGGGGTGACAAGTGGCGCGAGTGGGGCGAACATGATGATGGGCGTGAAGATGTGTGGGTTCAGGATGAGTGGGTTGAGGATGAGTGGAGTAAAAATAAAAAGGTTAAGGAGGAAGAAAAATGGGTTCAAGATGAACAAGGTCAGGATGAATGGGGTTGGGGTGATGATGAAGAGGAGTGGAAAGGGGAAGAGGGTGCCTGGCCAGAGCCCTCTGCCACAGAACTTGCAGAGACTACATGGCCAGCCCACGTAGAGGACACCTTGCCAGAGCCAAGCGAACCCCACACAGAGGAGCCAAGCGAACCCCACGCAGAGGACACCTGGCCAGAGCCAAGTGAACTCCATGCAGGGGACACCTGGCCAGAGTCAAGCGAACCCCACGCAGAAAAGCCAAGCGAACCCCACCGAGAGGACACCTGGCCAGAGCCAAGTGAACTCCACGCAGGGGACACCTGGCCAGAGTCAAGCGAACCCCACGAACCTCACCGAGAGGACACCTGGCCAGAGCCAAGTGAACTTCATGCAGGGGACACCTGGCCAGAGTCAAGCGAACCCCACGCAGAGGAGCCAAGCGAACCCCACCGAGAGGCCACCTGGCCAGAGCCAAGTGAACTCCACGCAAGGGACACCGGGCCAGAGCCAAGCAAACTCCATGCAGAGAAGACCTGGCCAGGGTCCGAGGACACTCCGTGGCCAGATGCCAGTCACATCCGCACAGAGAGCGCATGGCCAACGGGGAGTTCAGATGACAAACTCGAGGCCAGCGGTGCAGCCGGAGGCTTTGATGTGGCCGAGAAAACTGCTGGCACAACTCCGCAGAACAAAAAGTTCACTCATATCACTAAAGAAGGAAAGGAAAACTTCATGTCCCGGTTCAACTGGTCAGCGTCCACGCCCCTTTGCAAGAATATACCAACACGTGCTTTGACACATGCAGTTCGCTGGGGTTCTTTGTTCAATCATTGCAAGATCTGTTAAGGTACGCTTCCACCACTGAGCCAGATGATGAGGACAAATGGAACACACCCCAAACACTCGAATTAACTCGCCGCTAGGACAGACGATTGTCGGACGAGGAGCGCCTTGACTCCCCCACCGCTGCTTGGCGTCAGCTTCTCCTGCGTAGGCCAAGTGTGCACGAGACTACATAGAATAGGTCTTGTTCAACGTGATATCACGTGCGCGAACTGAGGACGACAACGCTGGCAAAGAAGAACCGGCTTCCAGCTTACTGAGTTTCACATGTGTTGATCACGCTTGCATGTGCCTAGGTGCACCCGAACCCTGAAGAGCAACCGAAAACTGAAGCTGAAGGCAAAAGCAAAAATGGAGACCCTAAGAAGGAGCCTTGTGCGTCAACAGTGCCGCACTCACACTCTACAAACCCTGCAGGAAGACTTGCCAGCTCGTTCTTGCGCCGACCCAGCCTCTTGGGTTGAAGCATGTTGAAGCTAATCGTTGCAAGATTGCTTTCTGTGTTTTTAGAACACCCAGGATCCATACCACTTTGAGACTCCTGCGGCTAAGTCAACAACGCCTCACCTACCCGACGACCTGGCGACAACGTGCTTGCGGAGCAAACATGCCCCACTGAACCCGCACGCCCAATCCATGTTGGCTGCCAGCACACGGACTGTTGAGCTCGACCCTTCCAAGGTCGCAAAGCCCACAGCCAAAAAAGCTCCCAAACCCAAAGCGAAAGCCAAAGGTAAAGCCAGCGCTAAGCCAAAGGCGTCGCCGAAAGCCAAATCATCAGCAAAACGAAGGGCCACGGATTCGCCCCAGCATGAGGAGGGCGAGCCAGAATCAGGTTCAACGCCGAAAGCAGCAGCCAAGCCCAAAAGCAAGGCAGCTGCAAAGAAAGAAACCGCCCGATCCAACTACGCTCTAGCCAAAGAAGAGTTTGTTTTCAGGCGCTGTTGATCCATTTTCCTGTTTGCGCTTGCTCTTTCGCGCAGGTTGAAGCAACAACACCCTGGACTTGTTCAGGGATGGATTGAAAAGCAGCTGGTCACTTACTGCGCATGCCCTCAATGTTATTTGTTGGTGCGCCACCCAAGTACATCGTATTGAGGTGGCGGTGCAGCGACGAGTTCAAGGCAGTGATCGCTACTATGCCTGAAGCCGAGGCCAAGCGCCGTAGGTACATTAAGTAAGCTGACTGCAATTAGGCATGGGCTAAGTGTTTGGAATATGTTTGACACTTGAAGGAGTTGCGCAAAAAAACAAGTGAGTGACCGTGGCGTGGAACACATACCCATTGCGTTTGCAGCAGCTTACCGTTTTGTCGCGTTTACAAATTGCATGCTGGTGGGGGAGCCGGCGCTTGCCGATAGCATTAGAAATGCATTGCCTGCATGCAGGGGTCCAGACTGGCATATGGCAGTTGCTTGACAATCTTGCTCGTTTTGAAGGTGGCTCAAAGTGGACCTTTGCCATAGTTATATAGGGCCAACCGCTAGCAACATGAAGTTGTCAAACCTTGCAGTGGTCCTGACGTGCCTCTTGTCGAGCATCTTGACAGCATGCAGCCGCAGCGGCCATCGATCAGCTGCCCGTGCGCCGCGCCGCGCCCAGGCTTTGGCGAGGTTCCTCCAGAGCAATCGATCCACTTCTGCGAGATTTTCTCAGGCCTGCATCTTGGAAACTGGGTGTGTTTCGCAAAGTGAGCCAACACACGTCGCTTCTTGGAGGGGTGCACATGTTGCACAGTGCTGCTGAAGCTTGGGGCTTGGAAAGCCGGTGCATAGATGCCCCTTGCTTAGCACTGTTGTCAAAGGCCCGGCTTGTGTAGACAAACAGTGTGCCCTAGGCTTCCTACACGAGAAAGATGGACCTCCTTTGCACTTTCGGCTTTCTCTTGGCCCTAAGTGTAGCCTCTTGGACGAACACATGTTCTGCCTACTATTGTCAAGCAAGCCTTCAATCACGAATTCAGGTTCGGAGGGTAGTTCCTGCTGGTGTTTGCTGGTACGCAGTGCCATGCAGCTCGTGGGTGTGGTTGCCCCTTGGCTGCAACATATACGGTTCCCCAAGTCCGTGTTGTGTGTGCTATTTGAGGTCAAGAGGATCGACAAAACGTAGTTGGTGCAACGTGAAAGGCGCCCTGAACCAAAACGCATTGCAGTGGCTTGCTACGCAACCCTGTTCGAACGACCCATGGCAGGATGCGAACAATATCGAAGTGTTACAGAAGCAAACCGGTTGGCACGGAGGCTGGCCTACCTGCGCCTTGGTCTAGATCTGTGTGAAAACCCCTTTGACGTTTGACAGTCTAGTTTGTCTTGCTTGGAAGCTCAGGATCGAATACAACTGGCGAAAAGGGGTGTCTTATGTCATCAAAAATCCTCAAAGCAGTATTCTTTGGCAGTACCGTTGCTTGCAGGACCCTGGGCATTGCTAGATTGATGTTAGGGCATCACATGCGCACACAGACTTGGCTTTTGCATGCAATCCGCCACTCGCGCTCAGAAACGGCTGTTGAAGCACGGGGCCAAGCGGGTTGTTGTGATGCTGGGGGCCTACGGGTCCTTGACCCTGAAACCGGTCGCTTGCTTGAGTACAGTGAGCCTTGTGGTTCATGGTGAGCCTTGTGTTTCAAAGTTTGCCATGCCAACATTTCTGCGAGGTGGTGCCGTGGGGCACGGCCCCATGGTTGGGAGAACTGCATCGTGTCCTATGCCCAGTGAAGAGGCACGCGCTGCAACGCATCAAGTCGTTTCTCAAGATCGAGACTGTGAGACGGTATACGGATTCGAAGGGGAAGTCCCGAATTGCTTTGATCTCAGTTGATTGCATCCCTGAATGACACAACACACACACACATGCACATGCACGCGCGACGCCAAGGCTGGATCTTTGCATTTGAAACAAACGCAAGCTTATCCGGGTCAACTTGGACTCACCGCTACTTGCCACAAAGAATCGTTGGATGTGGGCCTAATGCTAACTGTAGAACAACACTGCGGTTGTCTGTCTTGGTTCAGCACCCTTTTACTGCTCAAACTTGTTTGGTTGAAGTCTTTCTGAAAGAGGTGGGATTGGAGGCTTTTGAACACCAGCTTTTCTTGCAGCCTTCGAAGGAACTCAATGGTGCCTCATGTCAAACCAATTTAGGTTGTGGGTTCCTTGAGTGACACCTTGATAACCTTGTCAAGTATGGGAATGTTTCAAGCCTCGGGATACCCTTGGGAGAAACCATCAGCCAAACAAAGTTGCAAGGTATCCCTCAAACCAACCTTGACATTGAAAACAAGCCACTATGTTGTTCCCCAGCCCCAAAACAACACTTGGCGGCCCGTCCCAGGTAGCCCGGCTCGTGAAGGAGCGGGTGGCGAACGACACCCGAGCAGTGCCTGCTGATGGCGGGATGGCCTTCGAGGACACCGATGATGATGACAGCGACAGCGGCCTGGAGGGCGTGGTCGGATGAGTGGGCCCAGGCTTGGCACAGACTTTGGGGGAAAAGGGCAGCTGATCGTTGGTGTGAACATGTTGAAGGTTCCCGGAATTGATGAGGACATGAGTCAGGAATCAACCCCTAGCCCATCGTGTTATCATGATCGATGTGACATGCGAGACAAGTGGTTTTTGCTAGAAGGGTGATCTTGTTTGAACCAGACTCATGAAGCGCAAACAAGATAGTCAACCCCTTAGTCCAGCATGTTCTCATCACCTGGCAACCCTCGACATATTCACTTTCGAACCAAGCACAGCAAGAATCAACTCTTGTTCTCAACAACTCCACCCGGAAACCCCCGAGACATATTCCCATCAACCCTCAATTCAACACTGGTGTGAGATGTGAGATAAGGGGTCAGTACTATTGGGGCGAGGCAGCTTGAACGCCTGATCAAACTGTAAACGCTAACCAGCCCCTTAATCATTTCATTTCAATCAGGGTTGTGTTTCAACTACAATCCACTTGGTCAGGGACGCACAACATCGATCCTCCCCAAAAATCCCCAAAACAAGGTGTAACCCCCCTCAAAAAACGTGCCATCCTTGCCAAGTCATTCAATGTCAGGATGTTCGAGAGGAGAAATGGACCCCTGGAAAAAACGTGCCAGAACGTGTCCCGGCGTGCCACCAGTATCTTATTACCACATATTTTCGTGCCGTGCCGTGCCGGGGGGGGGGTAGGTGGAAGTGCTTGGAGTTGCTCGTGCTCTAGAGCTGCAAGGCCCAAATCTGCACTGCTGTTAGGTGCAGCGCGCCATGCGCCGCTGCGCAGGGTGGATCAATGGGCGGTGGGAGGAGTGGGACGCCCCCCTTGAGGCGGAGCCGCGGAGCGAGCCCTTCGAGATTCGCGACGACTCTAGCTCCCAAACCGCTTCTGATCCTGACAGTGTGGACGCACACAGCACAGCCAGCACCCTCGCAGACAACACGCTCAGCGTAGGCAAGGGCAACCACGACCTGGACACTAGCGACGTCAACAAGGGTGGGGGCTCCAAGGGCAAAACCGCAGGCAAGCTCTTCAGCAAGGGCAAGGTCAACGCGGCGACCAAGGGCAAAGGCACTGGCAGGGGGGTGAACAACTGCAAGCCTGACGATGAGAACTACGGCAAGGGAATCAGCATGGGCGTGGACCACAACCTGGACTCCGTCAAGGGCGCAAGCAGCAAGGGCGGCAAGGGCAAGAACGCGGGCGTGGGCCACAACCAGGACTCCATCGACGGCAAGACCGGCGCGGACCACGACCAGGCCATCGGCAAGGGCATCAGCAAGGGCAAGATTTTGGGCGACAACCAGGACTCCATCGATGGAAAGGGCAAGGGCATCAGCAAGGGCAAGAGTGTGGGCGAGGACCACAACCACAGCTCCATCGATGGCAAGGGCGTCGGCAAGACCATCAACAAGGGCAAGAACATGGGCTCGGACCAGGACTCATCATTTGATGGGAGCACCAGGAAGGGCAAGAGCGCAAGCAAGGGCCACAACCAGGACTTCACCGATGGCCAGGACGGCAAGGGCGCCAGCAAGGGCATCAAGGGCAAGAACGTGGACCAAGACTCCTTCGAGGGCAAGGGCAAGGGCATCAGCAAGGGCAAGACCGTGGGCGTGCACAACCAGGACTCCATGGATGGTAAGGGCTTCGGCAAGACTGTGGACTCCACCGATGGCAAGGGCAAGGGCGTCAGCAAGGGCAAGACCGTGGGCGCGGACAACCAGGACTCCATGGACGGTAAGGGCATCGGCAAGACTGTGGACTCCATCGACGGCAAGGGCAAGGGCGTCAGCAAGGGCAAGACCGTGGGCGTGCACATGGATGGTAAGGGCAAGCGCAACGGCAAGACTGTGGACTCCACGGACGGCAAGGGCAAGGGCGTCAACAAGGGCAAGACTGTGGGCGCAGACCACAACCAGGACTCCACCAACGACGAGGGTAAGGGCATCAGTAAGGGCAAGACTGCGGGCGCGGACCACAACCAGCACTTCATCGATGGCACAAGCAAGGGCAACCAGGACTCCATCAATGGCAAGGGCGTCGGCAAGACCATCAGCAAGGGCAAGAACATGGGCGCGGACCACAACCAGGACTCCGAGAACGTGGAGACTGCGGATCGCAAGGGCATCAACAAGGGTGTCAGCAAGGGCGTTGGCAAGGGCAAGAGCTTGGGGAAGGACGACCACCACGACTCCGTCGGTGGCAACACGAGCAAGGGCATCAGCAAGGGCAAGCGCGTGGGCAAGGGTGAGGGCAACGTGGAGCCCAACACACAGGACGCCGGCGACACGGCAAAGGGCAAGACAGACTACGACCGGGGCGCTCACTACAGCAAGGCCGCTGGGGGCATCAGTGCCATGGACGAGGGCAACAGCAAGGGCAAGAGCACGGGCAAGGGCAAAGATGTAGGCAAGACCTGGATGCACCGGGACAAGGACAATGCGACCTTCAACTACAATCACAACAACAAAGAGACCGAGACCGAGACCAAAGCGGACCACATGGACAACGCGTGGCGCTACCAAGGTGTCCACAAGGTTGCGGGCAAGCCCGAGGCCAAGGAGATGCCCCACCCGAACCCCAACAATGAACCTGAAGTCAAGGCCATGCCACGCGCACGCAATAAGGCCGACGCCTTCAAGCACAACCACATGCCTGAAGCGCCCTCTTCGGGCGACTCAACTTGGGGCGACTCAACTTGGGGCGATTCAACTTGGGGCGATTCAACTTGGGGCGCTACGCCCGCATGGAGCCCGTCACAGGCCGATGTTGAAGTTGTGTACAGCATCACAGTCAAGCGGTTCCGACATTCGCCGCAGGACTCAACACAGACACCGCCACCGCGGAAGCGTGCGTGGGAGGACAGTCAATAGCACTGTATCCGTGTGCAACATGTTTCTACCAACTGCTCAGGAGCTGTCGCAAAAGGATGGGTGCGCCGCTTAATTGTGCATATGTTTGGGCCCAATCATTTGCCTCGTTCTTTCCAGCCCTGTGCAGGTCAACGCCCTCGCCTCCGGGGACGCCGTCGATGTTGAAGAGCGTGAGCTTCCTCAGCGACGGGGCGGGCGCTCCGCTGGTTAGCCCGCTTGCCGAACGTGACACAGGCGGCCGTGTGAAGCGGGTGAAAGTTCTTTCAGCCGAACAGAAAGAGCAAATTTCACAACTGACATGTTGGGAAGACATCCCAACACAAGAGAGGAAAAGGCAACGCGAAGCCCTCAAGAGGTCCATGTCAAAATCCGGCTCAACGATGAAGCCGGGGGTGTTTGAGAAATGGACCAACGCCACAACCCCTGCCGCAACGTCTTGGCCTAAGAAGATTTGTTGGAACCAACATGTGTTGCACTACAAACTCAGGTTCGAATTCTTGAAGACTTGGCTCCTTGACCCGTCCATGGAGAGCATGCAGGTTGAGTCCTGGTACACACGGCCCTCGTCTTAATCGTTCGGTGCCTCCGGTGTTTCACAATGACTAGCTAGGCAAGCCGAAAGCAAAAGCAAGAACAAGTTCATTGAGTTGCCGTTGAATGAGCTTGAGGTCCTGGTTCAAACATGTTTGGCTTGTTGCAACACCATGCCCGCGCAGGAGATGTACCACAAGGAAGAAGACCGCAAGTGGCTCCTCGAGATGGTGGTCAAAAGCCAGGGCCCCGCATCATTGCAAACAAGATGTTCCGACCAACACGTGCATGATGCTCAGAACAAGCCGGACTCCCTCACCCACAAGCCTCTTCCTTACTTTGCGTTGCCGCTGCAGTGCAATTGAGTTTTGAATCATGTCGCAGATTGAAACAGGTATGGGTCAAATCACATCACCACGTGTCCATTCATTAGTTTTTTCTGGTAGTTATTTTTGGCCCACACCCAAATACTCATGTTTGATGACCTAAGGATCCCACAAATGCCAAAAGACGGATATACCGGGTGTTCAAGTGCATCGAGCGGACGGACGGTGTGAGCAGCACTGTGGGAACCTCTTTGCGAGGAACACAGAGCGTTGGCACAAACCGAGCTTGTCGCCAAGCAATGGGGGATCACTTGACATCCCAAGCAGCTCTGTTTTCGGACATGTCTGGTCCTGCCCCGGCCAACGAGAAGCACACAAAGAAACCAAAGGCGAAGGCAATCAAAGATGGCAAGGCCCCTCACCCCTTATTAACCTTTCTCCTTTGCATCGCTTGGCAGGGGAAATCCGCTGAAGACCAACAGCTCGAGGACTTCAGGAAGCAACTTAAAAAGTGGCATCCCTAGTGCAGAAACCGTTTGACGTGTCAAACCTGTCGCCTGCCTGCCAGTATCACGACCACTGGAAACAAAGCTCGGGATGCGGCCCAAAAGCTTACAGCCAGTGGGATCTCCAACCAAGAGGCGTGGGTGACAAACGAGTATGAACACTTAAGAGCTGCTACTGCAGGCCACTGTGCAGAGTTTGGGGAGCGTTTACAAGGCTGCAGAATCCGCAGTTCAGAGGACATTTACTTCTTTTGGTTTTGGGGGGGTTCAAATTCAGTTCTTGTTCAGGATCAACGGCGAGATCTTTCAGTCCAAGCCCTTGCCCCAGCTCATTGCTGAGCTC